ACTTGCTATATGAGGATGATGGGATCAAGAAGGAAAGAGAGAAATGTGAAAAGTTGCTCGCGACCTATAAGGAGGCTGCGAAGATTGTTGGAGAGGTTCTGTAACTGGGGAGTACGTGAAGGAGGCAAGGAAATGCAACAAATCCCGCAGAAATTGTGCGATGTTCGATATGGAGCCAGCTTTGTTGACGCATTCCCTTCTCTTCCCCGGTGCAGATAGAAGAGTCTCTCCTCGACGCGAGTTTTATGAACTCTCCCATGTTTATGTATCTATGTATCCAGCTCAGACTTTGGCTCCCCAATGCTGAGAAACTGGCCTGTAAAGTGATCATACCATTACTGTCATGCATACCAATGTCATGCTTTGGGAAAGGGATCGGAGGAAAACATTTCTGTTGCGTTGAACTTGAGCAATGGGGGTAGGCACACTGAACATATGATATGGCCATGGTGATGGCATTTTGCAGTCACTAGAACTGTTTACATTAGTCCCGGAGAATTATCCGGTTTTCTGCGTTGCAATCTCCATCATTTGCTCATTTCCAGCGTGAGTGCATACCTCATCGCCATGGAGCTACATAGGTGCGCAATTCTATCATTCCCTGTAGAGAACTTCGGCTCAGTCAATTGATCTGGTAGTGGTGGTGTAGAAGGTCTTCAAGGTCGCCCAGCGATCCAAGTCCCCAGCAACCAACCAAATAATCCATGTGAAGACAAAGGTGCCATGGCTATAGATCCAGCCCCGAAGCTGGTGCCTTTCCTGCAAGGAGGCTGTCTGTGTACTAAGTAAAATTCCTCCAATGCCGGGGTGTCATAATCTCATATGCGCGCAGCATTGGCTCGCTCGCCCGGCAAGATGCGGTGGTCGCGAACAAACCATGCCCGAGAAATTTTGTTCATATAATAGTCGAAGGGCCCGTCGAAACAGGGAAGACTGTCACGATGACTGGGAAGATCGGGCTAGAGGTCGTGTCGGGATCCGGGACCGGGGGTATTCCCGATCGGGACGGGCAGTTTGGATTCCCTGTCCTCTGGCTCGTTGTGAGCGTTGCGGTTGTCCCAGAAAACTGTGACTGCGTGACCAGGTTCGGTTGAGGTTCGGGCATAGGTGGTGGTGCTTTTGCGGATAACGCCGTGGTTGGGGGCAGCGTCTGGATCCGTGCCACCGTCGCTATCGTCGTGTCTGTGCGTCGATTGGAAGCGGACGTATATGTGTCGGTGACGTTGTTGGGGCTGGTGGATGTTCCGTTTGACAGGGCGACGGCAGGGCCATTGGCTCCGGTGGAAGGCTGCGTGCCGCTCGAACCATTATTGAGAGGTGATGTCTGCGAGTTCGGGAAACTGGTTCCATTGCCCCTATCAAGAGGGTAAAATCTCGTCATGGGAGGGTGCCTGTTTCCTCTCTTGTACGTCGGCTGAGACCGAGTGCCTTGTGTCGGCATTAGTATGATAGAGTTCGATGTCGGGTCTCCTTCGACTTCTTCTGACGGCAGATCTTGTTGTCGCTTGCCGTGTGTTCCTCCATGTCTCACGAAACGAGCGTTGTTGGGCGCCGGCGCCGGCGCAGTCTGACTAGGCGATCGTGGTGAAGAGTCTTGTCTGATGGTGATTTTTGGTAATAATAACGAGTCCGCCACGGGCAGAGCTGAGGTTGACTTTGTATGCGCCAGGATCGCAGCCATGATGCCGAAGAAATATATTAATGTGAGATTCATTGTCCTTTCCCTCTCGCTCCTGTGCCCGGTTCAGGTTGGAGACTTGGACGCACACCACGAGAGCCAAGAGTTTGTCAATAGCACTTTATAAACGCACTGGTCCGTCCACTCTTATATGCTGTTGTTGTAGGGAGAAAACAGACACGTCCCCTTACCTTGATTTTGCATTACGCTTCTTGACCCAGGAAGAAAGAATAAGTCACCCATCATCGCCTTTAGGGGCCCCAAGCCACCAGCATCATCAGCACCACATCCAACAGCGCGTAGACGCAAGGGCCAGTGGTCACGACCTCATCACGCAACTTCTCGAACCGTTGTACAAGCACACCACCCAGACAGACTCCCGCCGGCGCGCCCAGATCCAACCATCGACTTCCATACACGCGAGATCCTCTGCGAAGGCCCCACGCGTTGTGACGGGAATTCTGCGGGTTCAGCGCGTTTGGCTGGCTGCTGAGCAGGCCACGGAGGGGGATAAAAGCTTGTGGATGACTATAGCGAACCACGCAGGATGGGTTGAATCGGGGACAGATGTTGTGAATCAGTTGTTCGAACGGATGATTGGTGGCGAAAACAGTGGTTGAAACAATGTTGAAACACAGAAAGGGGGTTTGTGGGGGGTGGGACTTTGAATGTGCATCAGGAGCATGGCTGGGGTCGGCGAGGCTGACGAGGCTGCCAGGCTGATCCCAGAGTACGTGGATACAAGTCCTAAAACTACATCAGTTGTTGATATGGCAGCCACAGACATTCGACTTCCTTTCTACATAATTATGCGAGCAACAAAGAGTAGATAAATCACACGGGCTAGAAGCCCTATGGCCAAAAACTTTGAGGTACAAGAAAACGCTCCAGTGCGCAACCCGGCGATGCTGGAGTTTGCCAGCATTGCCCTGTCTGGGCCGACCACTTAATAGTAACTCGTCCCACTACCATAGTCCCGCTGCGTGCCAGGGAAAGCTCCTGCGGGCGCCGTTGTGCTATCTTCATTCTCATCCGAGCTATTTGCGGCACCGAGTCCATCATCTTCGGGCGGCGCTCTCATTGACGCCAATTCATCTTCCTCCAAGGGTGCTGGCTTCCATCTTTCATCAATTGGCATATTCATCCCGCTAGGCAGTGTTGACAGCAGCGGTTTCCACTCCGGTATCAGCTGGACGTTAATCGTATCGTTCTGTTTGTTGAACTTTTGATCTAGGTACTCCACAATCCGACTTTCCTCGAGCTTACCGCCGTCCATCCCCCACGTTGAGCTACCCCTTTCGATCCGTTTGTCTTCTCGTTTTTCGATCCAGGACGTCTTCAGCTTGCCAAAGCCCGAAGACTTGGAGCCATGTTTCCCCACTTCGAGGCCTAGCTCATTCATTGCTGCTCTGAGCCATGCGATAGCCTTCCCTGTTTGGCCTGCATGTGTGTCCTCCTCTAGTGCCTGGAATCTGCATGCTTTCGCCCGCGAGGCGCGATGAATGCCATCACAGTATTCTAAGAGCTCTTTCGACGCCTTTTCGGTTTCGACCTTTAGAGCCACAGCAGCCGCAGAAGCATGCTCCGCCGCTCCGATACAAAGTCGAGTTAGCACTTGACCCCGAACTTTCTGAATTTGTGGAGCCCTAATCATCCACTCTTTGTCATCTTTGTTTCGTGATTGAATGAGCAGTGCAGGATATGGATCTTCCTTGAGCACGCAAAGCAAGTTAAATTCCGCGTGGGTCAAGTGCTGCAAAGCTAATTGCACACTTGCCGATACGTCAACCGCAGCGGGCGGAAATGGGGGGGGACCATCGCTGGAAGAGTTTGCTCTCAGCAGAAGATAGGAATGGATTGCGTGTGCCGTCTTAAGGCACTTGGAAGCACTTTGGATCAGTGTTATGCGTTGCTCTGATGTCGGATTCACCGCAGCATAGAGCCCAAGGAGAGAGTTTCTGGCTAATAGATTCTGAATGAGCGCTAGTGTGTGATGCACGAAGAAGAGCTCGTAGTCAAGTCCCTTGCCCTTGACGCGCTCATTCTCGCGGCCTGGAATGGCATTCGAGCTCAAGGTTGGTCGCCACTCAATCTCAGGTTCCTGTGCAAGTGCAATGTCCACGTCCTCACCAGCCACAGGTTTGCCACAGAGCGCGACGTCGAGGGTGACGAGGTAGCGGATATAGCTTTGAACTGTAGAGGCAAGAGGCAACAGGTTCGTAGCCTGGTCTGCTGCTGACAGTCTCTTGTGGGCCTTTAGAGAAGCCCGGAGAACCGCCCGCTGAGATGTCGCTGCGGTGGGGAGGGACGGGTGAGTGGATGAGATAAGGCTGGCTTGAAAGGAGATGTGGGAGGTGGTAGAAAGCACAAATGGAAAGGGCATATTTGGTCACGCGTCTGCCAGCGACGAGAAATTCATGTCATTTGGAACAAGTGCTCATGGTCTTGTCTACGGTGACGAGTGTCTAGCCAGTGGAGGAACGGCTGGATGGTGGACGTTGGTTGCACAAAGTTTGCTCGTAAGGCTTGGTACTCGAAGCGGCGCCCAGATGTACGGAGGCACAGAGGCCTCAATACGCAGGCGCACAATTGCGCAGACTCTTCATGTAACTTTGTACTGTCAATCAAACCATCATAACAGCGCAATTGCCTATTCCCCTTCTGCTCAAAGTGTCCCATCGGATGTCCTCGCCCTTTTCGGTCCGCCACCCCCCACTCCCCTCCGATCTGGTTCTTGGGCAATGTTTGACAGTTTCCGAATTCATTTACAAGGCACCGACGAGCGAGAGGAACCGGCACAGTTCTTGAAAAGACGGAGACGACGGAGCAGCTACAGTCACCCTCTTCTCCACATCGCTTGCTGAAGCTGACACGACATTTCCCGAGCTTCAACAGGAGTTCGGTGCACCACCACAACTGCCGACCGAGTGTGGGAGCCAGCGTCTCAGCGTTGCTTTACAAGCTCTCGGTGTGTTCAGCCCATGCCCCCTGCCATCGGACCTGCGGATTGCGCCATATGGGAGCTGAGGGGCCGCGTCGTCTGGCTCAAAACGGAGTAGATGAGCGAGGTGCTTGTATGAGTTGGATCCTTTCATTCACCTACCCCTCATATGATGCCAGAGTAAGACGGCACCAATGGAAGGACAAGAGTAAGGTCCTGGGGACTTTGTTGACGGAAGTGTACACAGCACGTACCCGATGGTTTACTGAAGGTATAAAGCTGCCTGAGAACCCTGTCGGATCTCCCTGAAGCTGTGTTCCCCTCAATTGTTTCCTGTTCCCAACTGTATTTGATCCTATTGATCCTATTGACACGAGCACCATGGCACCATCCCTACACCCCCTCATTGACAACGGTATCACAAAGGGCAAAGACGACTTTCCCGGCGGTACTCTTCGATGCCACTGTTCTTCCAACCCCGTCGAGGTCGAGCTGAAGGGCAATGTCCTGCACAATCACGCCTGTGGATGCTCTCAGTGCTATAAGCCAGAGGGCGCCCTCTTCTCCATCGTCGCAGTTATTCCAGACGGTAACGTCCGTGTCACCAAGAACAAAGAGAAGCTCGCCGTCGTGAACGACCAGGCCACCATCTTGCGCTACGCATGCAAGGATTGCGGTGTCCACATGTACGGGTCGATCGAAAAGGACCATGCATTCAAGGGATTGTCCTTCGTGCACGTCGAGCTGAGCGATGAGAAGGGCTGGCAAGAGCCACAATTTGCGGCGTTTGTGTCGAGCTTGATTGAACAGGGCTATCCTCCGGAGAAGATGGGTGAGGTACGGGATCGCCTGCGGGAGCTCGGATTAGAGCCATATGATGCGCTCAGTCCGCCGTTGATGGATGCCCTGGCAACCTTCACGGCGGAGAAGGCGGGAAAGAGGAGCAAGATTTGAAAGGCGGCAATCTCGTGTGGCTGATGGAAGTTGTGATATTGGGCCTGCATGAGAATGGCAAAAGGGATCCAACAACTCGTTGGGATTTACTCACAAGCGGGCCTAATGTTCGATGACAATGTCCAGAGCTGCTGGAAAAGTGTATGGGTTGACGTTTTTGAGCTCAAAGTGGTTCCTTCAGAACCAAGACATCAAAAATCATTTCAATCATCATGATGAGACGGGTGTATGGCCTCTATTGAATTCGTCGACAGTGGTTGTTTCTCCTGCATCCAGCGAGTTGAATTTGTAGTGTACCGTAGTATCATGGGAAGAATGAATGCTCGTGAACTTCTTATTTTTGGTACCGTCCTTTGCACTACTAGCACTGTGAGACACTAAGACGAGCAGATACACGAGTTCTTGACCCAACCGTGAAACACCATAGAAAGCGACACAAGGACAATTACCAAATCCTCTTGGTATTGGCCTCCCACGGACCACGTCATGCCCTATGTATATAGTTCGCCCCAATGGCTGGAATCAGTTATTTTGCATGGTCTGCGGCTGTCTCTTCGATTCACCACATAGCCAAGTTCCGTCTTTTCTTCGTCTCTTAGTACAATGCATCGCCGCCCTTTCCTGTCGTGTTGCCAGGTCTGAGATCTGATCCTCTGGAACCCTTGGCCTGTTGTGCGCTCGGGTAGTCTGTCTGAACCTCTGGGCCACCTGCGGGACCATCTACACCAGGGATATAATTTTGTTGTTGGCCGCGGAAACCGGCTTCGCGCGTCGACTTGAGGAGCTGGAGATAACGGTCTTTGGGTTTGAATTATGTGAACAGTCAGATACGGCGTAATGTTGGGCGAGTAGAAGCAGATGGGGCTCGGGGGTTATTCACCTCTGTATTTTCCGCATTTCTCAAGATGGTTGACACCTTCGCGTGCGTAGCATTTGCCTGCATGAACAAGGTATTAGAATGGGGCGATCAAGGAACATGCTGGGCAAGGAGGCATTTCCGGAGATGTCGTCCCGTGCTCCTTCAAAGAGCCATGTGAAATCCTCAGCACAGCCATGGGCGAACTCTCAGACCCCTCCTTCCGCAAAAAGGTACCGTAGATGATGGTACAGAAAGCATTCTCAACAGACATACCCATTTCCTCTCCCACCAACCTCTTCATCATCCTCTGAACCCATTGTTCTCGAACAATTGCGTCTCTTGCATCGGCGACTGCTTCATTGTCTTGGAAATCGACGCCCTGGAACGTCGGAGGGACCTTGGGTTTCTGGCGCAGAAACAGCTCCGACTCGGGTGTAGGCATAATGGATGTCGAGTCGGGGCTCCTTCAGAAGATTCGAGGTCTGGTGATGGCGGTTTGGAGGGACAAGATGGACGGGGTGTACGTTTCGTTCCCGCTTGCGCAGTGACTCCCCCGACTGCTAGCGAGCACAAGTTGTTGAAGGCACCTCTATAGAGCCTAAGGGCAAGGAGCTTTAGAAGATACAGTGGGTTTCGTTCACGTCGTGTCCAGGATGGTACATCGCCCGCCAAAGCTCAGTCTGAGCTTCCTGCAGTGCCAAGAATTTCCCACGCTCCTTCGGGACGAGAGTGATGCCGCCCTATACCCCCTCTCTCTGGCCTTCACTTCGCTTGTGCGTGGGAACTTTCGTCTTTTCGTCTTAGTGCGCAATTGCGAATAACTTAAAGCAGGCGAACCAATACCTATTGGCAAAGGTAGATGCCCGAGTACGGAGGATAGTGTTTCCAGTTTCATTGTTGCCTAGAAGTCGCCTTTGATACGAAGCATGAGGGCTTCCAGTCAAATTGCTGCAGCGATGGACGAACAAATCGTCTATTCAATGTATCCCGGCCACAAATCCCACTCTTGACCACCATCTTCACATCTCCTCAACCAAACCACGCGGCTCTTTCATCTCAGCCAAGTGTTAGTCTAAATTCTGCTTAGTCGGACTTCCTGGAAAACGACCGTGTCTGTCTCGCCTCTATTTCGCCGATTGTTCGTTTGACCATATGGCCACGGAAAAGAAGAAGATTGCCATCATTGGCGCCGGACCAGTGGGCTGCGCCTTCGCAGTGCATCTGGTGAAGGCCGGACACGATGTCACAATTGTAGGTCGTGGCCAGCGACTTGCGAGCGTACAGGCATGTGGCGGTGTTCTCACCAAGAAATCGGACAAAGCCACGGATATCTCGAAGACTCCTGTCGTTGCTGTTGGATCCCTCGACACTGCACAACCCTGGGACCTCGTCCTCCTGACCATCACCGAGCACCAATTTGACGAGCAATTGTTTGCCACGCTCAAGACATGTTCAAAGTCAACCGAGATTCTGTTCATGTTCAACACATTTGCATCACTGGACAGATACTTCGACGTTTTGGGAAAGGAACGCTGCATCATGGGATTTCCAGCGATTTTGGCCTATTTCCAAGACGGAGCATTAGTGCACCAATTTATAAGTTTCGGCCAAATTACCATCATCTCATCACCCAAATGGCGCTCCATCTTCTCGTCAGCCGGGATCAAATGCGTCCACGAGCCTGATATGCAGAGCTGGCTACGCACACATGCCGCCCTTGTCATTGGTGCCATGAGCGCGGCCGTTGCGGCTGCCAAGAAGAAATCGGGCGTGACATGGGCAGAAGCAAGTCTCATTGCCGGAGCGGTCAAGGAAGGGCTTGCACTGGTCCAGAAGCTGGGAAATAATGTCACACCCCGATGGATATACTATCTCGGTGTTGCGGCGCCCAGTTTCGTGCTGACCGGGCTGCTTTGGGTTGCGACGAGAGTACCGAGTGTGCGCAATAACCCCCAAGCACTGCCAAAGTGGGAACCAGAGATGCTTGGTCTTGTCGACAGCATCATTGCAGCGGCGCCTTCTGAAGACGACGTAAGACTGATTAGCCAGCTGCGAGCAAAGTATATATGAGCGGTATGTGACTAGCCCAATAGGTATACGCTACCTAGTCGTATGAGACTACCTCTTAGAGCTGTAGCAGTGTTGCGGCCAAAATGAGAGACCCCGAGGATTTTATTTGAGGGAGTAAGTGTATGAAAGCGGCGAGCCCTGGAACCGCGCATCATGATAAACACCAAGGCCCGAGGATCGCGGACATCCCCTGTTCTTGTTGCAATCCATGAGCCCAATCTTGCGTCTCTACCCTCATTATCTTAACAAGTCATTTGAGCATTGAGGGCATCTATGTTGAAGTGTTTCCGGTATCATTGGAACTTGCACCTGATTGACAAAATCCTCAAACCCCACAGGACCTCACCTAGCCTCCGTCGAAGGTCGGTTTCTCAGGTATACTCGATAATACAGCAAATGACAACCTTGGTGGCGGTACGGAGCAAGGAGACACATGTTGCTGGGGAGATTTGGGCGTCGACCTCTCCCGGTTAAGTATTCCCTCACCGACACCCTGTTGCTGCTTTCGAGGTTCGGGCCGAACTGCTTCTACTGGACCTAACCTTTCCGCTGTTAGTCTCGGCGTTGAAGGCCGAGAGCCGCCGCACGGATTTTCCATTCCCGAGTTCAACGTATCAAGCTCCGTTAGACTCGAGAATGTCATGGATGTCGGAAACGACCTTCCTCGTGTCGCATCCGGGTGTCTCTCAAGTCGCCATGCAGATTGTGCGAGACTCCGCCTCCCTAGGCCTTCGCGCACATGTGTTTCAAAAATATTCATTCGAGCATCTCGCTCGTCCTGACATGCTGGGCAGAGGTTGTTGATGCTATAGGTCCGCAGTGGGTGAATTAGCTTGTCAGGGCAGCGTAGGGGTGAAGGTGAGCTTGTGGCCTCGATCGATGAGACAGGTTTTGCGCCGGCCTGGGTTTGCTGGACGCCTTGGGGTCTCCTACTGTGTGCTCCCGTCGTCCGTTGTCTCTTCGTCTCCGAAGATTCGTGTGGGCACTTCGAGTTTGCGAGAGGGCGGTTGGGAAAGGCGACATGCCCGCAGGTCATGAAGAGGTAGGACGTGTACCAACACATGTTCTCACTTGGATTTTTGACGTCGAATGCCTGCCGAAATTTGGGATTGGCGCATCTCAAGGCTTTGGGGATCGAGGGAGCCTGCATCGTGCCTCGCAAGCAAATCCCGCTTCTCACTCAATGTGCATTTGGGGCGTTGACGTTCCCTCACGCCTCTCAGATGACTCCCGAGAAATCGGACGAGGGCTTTCTCTTGTTTGCCGAAGCTAGTGTGATGGCTCTGTTCCCGGAAGCGTGACAATTTGCTCTCACCATTGTTGTCCGAGCTCGGCGAACAACGGTCTAGGCGACAAACATAAAGCCGATACTGTTGACTTATGGGCGAGACGCGATGTTTGTCCTCTGCATGGCTGCAAAGCTATCAGCGTCACCTGCTGCATGCAGTCTGCAGCTGGGGCGGTCCCTCGCAACAGTCACTCTGGTGGTTGTTAAAATATATACGAGAAATTTCCAGATCCACAAGCGAAGTGAGTGCAGGACTGCCGGGTATCATACCATGAAATTCCTTCGGTCAAATGCCAAAAGGGGACCGCATCCATGATACAGGGCGCAGGAGCAACGACAATTACCAGCCAAGCGAAGAAAATCCAAGTTCATAGTAGAGGAGAACGCAACGCACGGGCTGTGCTTAGCACGCATGGTTTCTCTGCCTGTAGGCGCCTCAAGAATTAATTTGCTGGTCCCTGTCAATAATGGTCGCAGCGAAAGGCCACAGGTCAACGCTTCGATATCTCTCCACTTACTCCTCCGCAGCCAAAACCACAGCCGGACGACTTGCCTCGTCACGATCCTCTCTGCCTTGGCCCAGTGCACTGGCAATGTCCGCTTTCCTCCCAGTCCAATCTTCCTGCGCTTCTTCCTCGATCTCTTTCCCAGTTCGCTCTCCCCGTCTGTGTAATTCCCGCTCATGTTCGGCCGCCTTCTTGTCTATGTTCTGTGTCAGACTCTCTTCTTCGCCGTATCCCCCACCACCACCCGTTCGCACGGCTCTTGCAACGTCGCCCTCGCCTGGCATCCGCATTTGCTCGCCCTCTAAATTGCTGTCGCCTTTGGAGTAGTCTTGCGCGTCGGACTCGGGAATTCGTTTCTCTGTGAGGGGACCACGCTCGCCAGAGCCCAAGGCACCGGGTTTTGCAACTTCGCCGTGTTCAGAAGTTACATCATGAGCTGAACGGCGGTCAATAGTCTTGGACTGGGTGCTGGAAGTGTCTTGTGCTGCAGTTTGTTCTTGAGCTGTCTTCGAGGCAGGGTTTTGACCTTGATTCAAGCCTGTCTGTTGAGTTGGCTGAGATGGTGCATGGGGATCGAGGTTGGACATCGTGGTAACTTGAATGTTGAGGGGGTCTGGGAGTACGCTGGTGGACAGGAATCTTGTTATGAGAAGAATCTCTTTTCTAACATGAGTTTACAGGAATGCACAGCAACAGAGGGTGTCAACTTGATGCCAGGACGGCGATGATCAGTTCGATTGCTGTGAAATTTACGAGATCTATCCTCGGGGACCAGGTCAAAGGGACGCAAAGAGGCTATACTTTCCCAGTGGTACGAGTGAATGTTCTGTGATTTCGTCGATTGTGTCATAGCTGTTGATCATCGTACTTGTGGCATGGCATGTGGGTGGCATGTGTAGGGCGTTGACGTCATCGGAGTCAGCCTCGTCTTTGCCGTCAGGACATGTGGCTGCTGATGGTAAGGCTGTACTAGTCCTGAGGCTGTAGGGACTTCTTGTCCAAAATATCAAATTTACCGACGCAGTAGCCTCTATTAGGTGCTCTGAGTCTAGACGGCAGCATCGGAATTGCTTCAATCGGCTAACCGCGACTCCCATGCCTCTGGCTCCACGTAACAACTTGTGGTGAAGGAGTGAAGTAATCGATATCCGCAGAGGCATTGTGAATCGAGACGCAATCGAAGCATACTCGTGTGAAGGTTCTCAAGGTTGTCAACGTTTAATCGGAAGTCCACATGGGCAAAGACTTCGAGGAAGGCCGAACGAATAGTGATGGTGGACCGCGTGCGATTACTCAAGTTGCAAGATGCAACGGTTCTGAGGTGGGAGGAGACGAATCCCAGGAATCCCAAAGAGCGAGAAGTCCCGCAAGCTGTTGTCCAGTCGATGACAATCACATGTGTAGAGCGCTGACCCAAGCGACCTGCAAGTGAACGCCATGGCATGGAAATGTCCGTCTCGAACCTTTCGGTGGACTTGGTCTCTCGACTCTATTTGGCAGTTCGACTATGGCACAGCAAGTCCGAGTGAGATGACTTCAGAAATCACTTAACCTTCTATTGTAACAGTGATACTGTCAAAGTCGCCTTTATCACATCGCTGAGTGTGGTCGCCGCAATCTGGTGACTTTTCTCTCAAACTCACCTTCTTCTCCCCTCCTTCACAAAGTGTGATATGCCTCGATCATAACATTTCAGACAACGTCTTTTCAGAAAGTGATCTTACTTAACCTGGGTTCTTTCGAAATTGTATCTCGACCCATCATCACCTCGCTATGCCCGTTGTTACGCCGACACCTGTGCAGTAAGTGAGGACCTTTAATTTCTTATTATTCTGTTATATTCACATTTGACTGACCTTTGCTAGGATCGCTGAAGCGGAAACAGCACTGGGAAAAGAGTACAAAGAGTTTAAGAAGGCGATGGAGTCTGCTAGAAGACAAAAGAAGATTGCCAACCGTCTCAAGAAGCTTCGCCTGAGTCTCAAGATCCCAATTATCCCTGCAAAGGTTAGCATTATTGACTCAGATCATCAGCGCATTGAACTCACCAGAATGTGGTCCAGATCTACAAGAGCGGAATCATTCAAAACCAGGAGCACAATCTCACCAAACTTCCACATGAAGTCCGAGCTATGATCTTCAAAGCCCTACCACTCAATGCAGACCGCGCCGCTTTGGCCCTCACCTGCAAGAGCCAAGCCGCCACGTATGAACAATTAAAAGCCGAGAAGAACAAGAAGGACTATGACCATCTTGTCCCCAAGCGCTCCGTCCGAACTCATCGTCTGCAAATTCTTGTCAGGCTCCGTGACTCTGTGCCTCCAAATTATCGCCTTTGCTATACATGCCTCCAATTTATCGACACCGAGCATGTGGACAATAAGGGGGCATGGGGAGGGGATCCCATGGAAGTGCAGGGACTCAAAGCAAGCAAAGCTGCTATGGTTGAAAGTCCACGTTGCCCTTTGTGCGTGGCTGCTGCCAGGTTGGAGACTGCCAAGCACAAGGGAACGTACAAGAAGTACCTGGCCCTGGCAGACAGATGCTCCTTCAAGAAGTAATCAACCAGAGACACACCTTTGAGGGTGAAACGGTCGAAGTTGTCGCCTCCAACGACGTGGGTCCACCTATGCAGGTATGTCGTAAATCATGGGGACTGTCCAATACACATAGTTTCCATGACACGGTTGCGATGGAAATGGCAGCACTGGCCTTTGATGACTGAAAAGGGCATGGCAAGATGTGCTGGTGGTAAGCGAGCTTTCCCAGAGGGGCTGATAGAGACGATGGCGGTGATGATGTCGAGCTGTATCATGAAGCGACAAAGTGCGGAAACAAATGTTCATGATCCCGAATTACGATAATTCGACGGACCTCGTGCCTGGCTCAGCTTATCCACGAATGGACGGTACGGAGTTGCAATCGAGTGAGGCTGAACGCGATCCGGAGCTTCGAGTGCTTCGTCCGTAGCTCCTGGATATTGTTGCTGCCTCTTGTGTATTCGATCCAACGGCTCGCCGACGATGTGGTATTTTGCCCACTCCACAGGGGGAGTGCGTACGATGTTTTGGGCGGGTGGGAAGCGGCCAAATTTGGACGCCTGGGTTTCGCGGTCCTCGGCTGCCATAGAGTCAGGCTCGTCAACTTCTACGCCAGACCGGGGCGAGCGGCTGAGTGTTCCCGCCTGAAGCTCTTTGATAAATTGTTCGGGGTTGTCTAAAGCAGCCTGTTTCATTCTGTCCAACTCTTGCATATCCCGTAGAGCCTGCTGCCGCTGGATTTGGAGGATAGACAAGGCAGCTCGCAAGGCCATTGCGTCTGGGTTATCGTCTAAGCTGACTGGAAGAGGTTCTGGTGGTTCGTCCATCCATTGTGCAGGTGGTAGGTCTCCTATCGCATCGTGGGAGGCTAAGCTGGTATGGGATAATGTCGGCGTAACAGGTGAATAAGATGGACGTTGAGGACTGCCGCTTGGCTCGTGCTCAACAACGGTAGTCTGGGATTGTGCTGGCGTGGAAAAGGGTAAGACAGGCTGCGAAACCTTGTCGCCTATGTCTTGTTTGTTGTGGTCGGTCATGGTTAATCTGATGCGTGCACATGCACGCAGAGGAGGGAGGGGAAGGGAGGGGACGGGAGACAACTGCCTGTAGACGATGGAGGCACGGAGGGAGCCTATGGCAAGAACCGAACTTTGCCGAAATTTTAGCGGTGTTGGAGCCGCAACAACAGATCTTGCGTTGAAACAAGGTCGTGGAGTTGGATTTGCGCTACTCGGTACAGATGCTGGGTTTGTAACAAATTGGTGACGATAAACACTTCAATAAGGGAAAAGAAAGGGAGCAGAGACTTTGGAATTGAAAAATTAGTGGTTTTGAGTTTGCCACTTTACAACCCTGATCTTGACAAACATTTTGCACCCAGTAGTCTATCATCCTGCGAAAACCGAAAGGTTGGTGTCAATCTGACAATCATCCCCAAGCAAAAAGCGGATTGAGACTTTTCTCTCTCAGGATATTTATTTGTTACAGGGCGGCAGTGGCATGAATAGTTGTTGATAAGGGTGCTTGTGGCAGCTCCTGGACTGAAGTCTCGTAGGCTTACAGGAGTGCTCTGTAGGGAAACCTTCTTCTACTGACTACAAGTACAGGTACATGAGATACCTCGTAGGCACGGACTCCATTTCGTTTAGTATCTACAGATACTTCTGCTGGGGACAACCACCACCAGACTTTGCGCTCACTCACTCACTGCACAAGGTTTCAGTAGTCCTTTTAGGTGGACAGATGGTATCCATAGATAGGAACCAGAGACCTGTTTTGCTTCGGATGACTGCCCTCAAAGAGGGTCATGAGGGTTCCGTTCTTATGCAGGTGCATGCTGCTTGTCCCCCTTCCACCCCGTACCATGTGGTTCCTTGCCACGTGTGAGTGTGCCTGGCGCATTGGTCAATTGGACGAGTATCTCGCATTTCGCCAACCATCCATGGGGGGTGTTGGTGCTTCTCCCATCTGAGAAGGAAGTCATAACGTATTCAATCCTTGTCTTTCCTGGAAACGATGAGGGTGCGAGGAACAGCGCTTCATTGGACGGGTGCGTGGTTGGATTGACTAATAGACTTCCCTTCTGTGACTCTTGTGAATGGCGTCCCTGTCAAACCACCTGGTGGAGTCGTTGCTGGTTGATTCCACAACCTGTCATCCTCTTTCGGGTCCTTTCCCGCATAATGCCAGACGCCGAGACAGCAGACAGTCGCAGGGGATATGGTAGGAAGGAAGTTGTCGTTTGCCAGAGGGAGAAAAATCCTCTGTGGTGGTCCGGTGTCCCATCACAGAACTACGGTTCGGGTATTAGTCGGAATGGAATTAGTAGCTCGGACCACTAGAACAAAGCGACAAATATCGAGTATCGCCATTTCAGTGAAAGTCGCCGAGGACGGGAAAAAGAGGTTGAAGGCCACTGGTTCTCTCGGCATGCGGAGCTTCGAAAATCGCAACCGTAGCGAGAAAAGGGGGATGGAAAAGGGCATATGTATTCTCTGTTTCCAGGCACCGCAGGGCCTTTTTACGTTGTTTCTAGCCAATAATGAAGCCCAGGATCAAACCCCGAACACAAGCTCCACCTCCCACTCGCTCCCTCACAGGTGGCAGAATCTAGCAAGAACACCCTTGGAGATCATAATCAACTGTAGCCAGCCACTCCAGATTCTGTTTGACTTTGTTTGACTTTGTGCTTGTACTGATCATCGATCTTTATTTCCCCCTTCTGCTGGCTGCATGTGTCATCCGCCTTGTTGAGAATCGAACACCACGTTTTCCCGTTGCAGCTCCACACGTACTCGTACCTGCTCTTTTGGATCCCTGCATCGTGGCTTTGTTTTGCCTTAGCCCTAGCCTCCACCTACATTTGCCCATGATGTGCATTTACTTTCCCCACGGTCAGAGCCGCCTCTCAGCTCAATCCCTAGCTGACGGTGGCAGAGGTCAATCCAAGCCCGCCACCGAAGACCCCCTTCCGAGTCTTGCCCAATCTACCATCGACGATCCAGGATGATCTCTAGGTTAACGGGGAAATCCAACGATCTAGCTTCCTCTCGCAGGATCCTGCGTCGTAACGCTCCATTCTCGTTCACCTGGATATCCTCCATACTCATTTTGTGTCCTGGATCTCCTGGATCGATAAAGTTCCTTGTGCCTCCAGGGTTTGCCCTCACCTGGTGTGCTCGCTGATGCATAGGCTCAAGCCCTCTGAATCCTCTCATGTGCGCGACGTCCAGAGCGAAGTACTCAGGTCCGACTCAAGAATATCCAGCCAACCACGTCTCTTGCACCGAAGGGAATCGTACTAAGATCCCGTGCACAAGCCGCTGGCTGGGACTGCCACTCCTTCGGTCATTGCCATGTCATGTTAATCAGTTCCACGACCTGTGCCTCTACCACCATCTGGCCACATCGTCGTGGTCATGCCAGCAAGTGCGTCGAGCATCCAAAAGATAGAAACTCAACAAGATATAACAAATGGTCTGTTATACCATGATCTTTCGCCCTTGCGCGATCTGAGTGGTCCGAACCAATATCGCACCTCAGACATCACATCACGGGGAGATAAAGACAAGATGGCCGGTCAGCCTGATCAAGATGCGGAATCCAAGCAACCTAGGCCACGTCTTACTATCCGCGAGCTTCGAGAAGCGGCCCAGAAGGAAGCGGCTCAGAAGGAGGTCCAGAAAGCGGCTCTGACCAGCCAAGCAAACAAGGCTCCTCAAACCCCGCAAGAGACACGTCGCAAATCTAGTTCAATGCTACAGAAGAAGCCCTCCATCCTAGGTGGCCTCTTCCAAGTTCGAGAGCCAACTCAAATTGCCTTGAACCAAGTCGCAACTCAGATGATTGCCCAACATGGATCAACAAGCGCCACCAAGGTTCCCAACGTGAGGTTGGAAAAGATGCCCGAGTTTGTCCCCAAGGTTAACTCAAAATGGGATGGAATCCCAGAGAGCATAAAGCGAAGGGAACGGAGGGAGAAGGAAAAAGACAAGGAACGAAATAGGAAAGAATCTCCTCTCTTCACAAACTCCAAGGCTCGCAGTGACAATGGGAAAGACAAAAGCCGCACGAACGTGGGAAGCCGAAACTCGAGCTCAACAACCGGTTCCTCTTTTGGTGCCCCTGCCAGCTCAATTGGCTCCCGGGGAGCCTCTTCCCACACGAGGTTTTACACTCGTTCAACCAACTCGTCTGAGGATCTGGCGTCGCAGCGAAGAACCGACGCCTCGATCTTTTCCCCCCCACTCACATCGTCATCCGCATTTAGTCTGGCTGAAAGTGTTTCCGACATGCCCTCCAATCCTTGTCGTGGATCTGGTTTGGCCAGTACAAGATCTCATTATTCACATACCCAAGATCTGACACGGGAGCCTCGAACTCCCTCAAGCATGGATCAACCGCCTGCCAGTTGTGCAACATTTGCAGCAACGACGACCAGGGAATACGGGTTGCTCAATCCTCATGCTATCACTCGAGGCCAAGGCGGAGAGGAGGGTTCCTACAAGCTGTCTACCGACATTTCTGTCGAAAATAGTGCTCGTTATGCCGATGCTGGGATGCAGCTTCCGGAGTCTCAATATAGACCCCACACCACAGCTTTTCTGCCATACCTGACCTCGTCACCCGCACGTCCCCAAGACGTGTCTCCAACCGCTTCACCGCGCCTCGAGCTGCAACCCCCAGTGGGACGGGATGTCGATGACATGACCAATCTACTGGTGGCATTGTCTTCCTCTGGATCCGAGCCATTGAGTCCCCTAACTGCTGGGAAGAAGAAATCAGGAACGAAGCTCAATGACGCTTTCTTGGCGGGAGAGGCTCGAGAGCTGGTGTTACCCGATGATGCAACAGTACAGTCCCGGGACTCGAGTCGATCGCGGATTCAACAAGACCTAGAGAAACGGCCGGACAGCTCTCGGGACCGGCTGGGTTTGAGGGCAAGCATGCTTTTTGACGACGATACAACGCCGTGGGGGTCGAAAGAGACGAGTGTCCCAGCGGCATTAGAACCTCAAATTATGAAGTCTGTGCCAAACGTAAAGATCAAGTTTCATAAGCCTTTTGGCAGGGTTGGCAAAGACAAGGACAAATGGAAGACGACGCTCTGAGCTACCTGCGACTATTTCAATCATTCGAAGCATTTGGAGAATACAACTTTCATGATCTACAGGCAATTCATGATAAATATGGAGCTCAGCGCCGCTCTCTATTTTGGCATGGTTACGAATAATGAACATTTTGAGCGCATTCTATGTTAGGATACCCAGAGGAGATATTCTGGCGTCGTGGGAAATGGCCATTGCCATGAAATGCATGCATGTTTAATCTTGGACAAAATGTTGGCACGGTTGCCATGGAATATTATAATGCATGTTTCCCCGAGTTGATATCCATTCGTGCCATTGTTAGGTATACTGCCCTTGCCGCCGATGGTCAGGAACGATAATTGGCCAGGCTGGATTTTGCGGGGAAGAAAAAAAAAGTTGCGAGTGGCCTGAGCAAACTCCGCAAGCACTCTCACCGCGCACTGACACAATATTTGCGGGATATTGATCACACCTCCGTACGTGTATTTGGGCTGACAACATTGCTGGAACCTCGATTTTGTCTATTTTCACAATGAAACGTAAAGCACCCGAGGATGGGAATTCCTCTCCGAAGAGGCGTGTCATGTCTGCCGATAACAGCGGCATTCGGTCAACCTTTCGATCAGATCTCTTCGAGCCTGACACTCGAGAAGCGTTCCGCGAATCTTACCGATCGTCGAAGCCTTACCCGCATGCCGTTGTATCCTCATTGATCCAAGAACCTCTCCTCCGCTCCGTGCGACAGGAAATCACCACTCATATCCATTTCACTCTGAAGGAGACAGACATTTACCGCATTCACCAATCCGGTGACCTCGCAAACCTCTCCAATCTTGATGCCGAGTCCCTCAAACACCTGCCCAGCCTAGTCCGCCTGAGAGATGCTCTCTATAGCTCAGAATTTCGAGAATGGGTGTCTGCCGTCACGGGCGCTGGGAAAGTGTCGGGCACAAAAACCGACATGGCGGTCAACGTCTACACACCAGGAAGTTATTTGCTGTGCCATGATGATGTGATTGGAAGTCGAAGAGTAAGCTACATCTTGTATTTGACAGATCCAGATCATCCCTGGCAACCTGAATGGGGTGGCGGCCTCAGACTGTATCCCACGGAGATCAAGAGAAACAAAGCTGGAGAGCAAGTGAAAGTCCCTCTCGCTGAACATAGTTTGAACATTCCACCCTCCTTCGGCCAATTGAGTTTCTTCGCCGTTCGGCCTGGCGAGAGTTATCACGACGTGGAAGAAGTCTACCACTCACAAAACCTGGAAGAAGATGGAGGCAGAATCCGTATGGCAATCAGCGGCTGGTACCACATACCACAAGAGGGCGAGGATGGCTTTGAACAAGGCATGGAACAAGAGCAGGCTCAGAAATCCAGCCTCGCGCAGCTGAAGAGCACCTCGAATGAGTTTGACGAGCCTCGACTGGTGTTCCGTCACTTCGACGAGCCGCGTACTGTCATGGATAGTCGGGCTGTGGCGCGGGAGATTGACCCAGGCGACGATCTTGACACCGATGATACAATACTCACTGAGCAAGATTTGACGTTCTTGCTACATTATATGACACCAAGTTATCTGACTCCAGATATGATTGAGCAGTTCGCGTCCTCATTCGTCGACATGTCAGTGCTTCAACTAGAGGAGTTTTTTAATGCCCGATTCGCAGCCGAGTTGAAGGATTATGTGCATAAGGTGGAAAGTGAAAAAAAGCATGCGATCCCAGAGTCATCGAGAGATCACCATCCTTCTACTTGGAGAATTGCTCGACCACCACATAAACAACGCTATGCCTACCTGCAGACTGCAGAGGCCTTGCACCGCGACCACTGCCCTATCTCTCGAATCCTGGCTGATCTGATTCACTCGCATGCATTCAAGAAGTGGCTTGCACTTGTGACAGGACTCAAGACAAAGAGTCTCATCCGCCAGAGCGCGATCGCCCGTAGATTTCGAAGAGGAAAGGATTACGCACTTGCAAACCCTTACCAAGGCGAAACGCCCCGCTTGGAATTCACGATTTCCATCACTCCCAGCGAAGGGTGGGAAAGAGATGGAGGCGCGGACGACGAAGGCGATAGCAAGCCGACAACCGCGAAGGTCCAGAGGCAAGCCAGTGGCAACGCTGCTACAACCGAGAAGATTCAAGTCTCCTCGGTATCTGAGATCGAGTTCGGTGGTGAAGAAGTCTACATGGCGGGTGACGAAGAGGAAGACGGATTGCCAAATGAAGATGACTCGAAGTCCCTACCCAATGTCGGCAAGAAGCCTGCCCACGATCCTGCAATCTACAAAGCCACAGATGATGAGGATGATGGCATCCTGTTTGCGAGCTCCCCCGGTTGGAATAAGTTCAGTATGGTGCTCAGGGACAAGGGCACGCTGAGGTTTGTCAAGTATGTGAGCCAGGCAGCGCAAGGTGATCGATGGGATCTGAAAGGAGAGATAGAAGTTGACGAAGCCGGCTGGGACGGAATAGTCGGTGGCGATGCAGAAGAGTCGGACGAACAGGATGACGAGGACGATGACCTTGATGAAGACGAGGAAGAGGACGAAGAGGACGCTGACGGGGACCTAGCAAGCCACGATGAAGATGAGGACTGAGCTTTCGTGTGCTCACACTCGGTCGAGCAGGTGGTCCGCCAATATTTTTTGGAAGGACAGCCTTAAACATATGCTGGTTGAAGCCTTGGACCAACCTCTCACCAGCTAGCGTCTCTACCACAGACGATATCGGTATATTGTAGCTGTCCGCGTTGTCTGTTTGCCCAGCCCATGTTCTGTGGTATACCTGCCCTCCCCTACCTACCAGCCAACCACTAGGTCTCCAAGCTTCCACCCCAGCCCTTCAAGTTCTCGACGACAGGAACTCCTTCCGGCGCCCTGACAATGACCCAGACAACTTCTTCGTTGCCGTCGTTGACCTCCTGATGTTCCCTGTATGCCGGGATCAGGGCCCAGTCTCCCGGCTTGAGATCTTGCCTGACATCTCCAAACGGACCATCTTTGCCCTTGCCAGACGACGATACAAGGGAGCCGTAGCCACTCACCGCGTAGACGATGGTGTCTTGGGTGCCGTGATGGTGCACCGCTGAGGCGGAGTGTGGTTGTGCGCGCATCAGCGTGCCGCAAATGGATGGGGATAGCTCGACAATCGCGGACTGTGTGTGCGCCAGAGTCAGTGAGCGGCTCCCATAACGGCGAGAATGGGATGGGTCTGAAATGGGACTTCTGGAACTCGAGACGGTCCCAAAGGAGAGAATAAAGGGGATGTGGCGAGTCATCTCGTGCGTCGAGGTCCTCTCTTCACTCGGAAAAGAGTTATGGTGGTCTTTGCATTTCTTCGCCAATGGCGACAACAACAGAGATCGCTCTCTTGGTGTGTTGTCTACGTCCAATCCACGTACAGAAAAGTGACTCCCGTTGTTTTGTCTCGTCACGAACCGAACAGTCCCCCCTAAAGCCAGGTATTGAGTTAAATGTCTGTGCAACATACCTGTCGGATCATCCCGTCCGTCTGTCCATGCCCTGTCTTGACCTGATCTGCCCTCGTCACATGAACTGGGCGCGGGTTTTGCTTCTCGCTCCCGCTAGGGGTTGACATGGTTTCTCTATATCTCCGATGAAGACCTCGTAGACTGACCAGGTGCAAATCGAAAATGCGTAGATAGAGAGCGAGCAGCTAGGGAGGGAATTGCCCAAATAGATGGGGGTCGCAATGAAATTCAAAGGTGCATCAAATCTATGTACCTCCGGTATTGATCGGGGTGGCCGTCGTGCGTCAAGCAGACGGGGTAGATGAAGATAAGATGCGGAGTCGACGCCGTCTCGTGTTCATTTACTTAACCAGTGATTGACCAGTTCTCCTCATCTCGACGCGTGTGCCTCGATCATGATATGGAGCATCAACGCATGTGTAAGCAGCAAGTTGGGGAAGTTTTGTGGCGTGGACAGTGACCATGTGTCTCGTAAGATACTTTGCCATTCAAGTTAGGTCTATGTCTCATTAAGCGACGAGCTCTATCGCAATGCATTTGGCTGAAGCAACGGGCAAGAAATCAGAGGTGGAGAACACATGGAAGAGGTTCACAATCATGTGCCGGCCTCATCAGTCATGAACATCCATCGGCCGGCCGTCTCTCCCATGCTATGCCGGTGTCATGACCGCAAGTCCCCGTCATCGTCATCAAGCGGACACAATAGTGGAATCTAGAACATGGTGCGCGGAAGCATCATGTCCATCATGTTCCGTGCTTCATTTTCTCCCTGCGTCAGTCAAAATATCCCAAACCAAGTCCATCTATCCATCTGACGCCTGCAGTGCCACACGGTCTTTTCTCTGCTTGAACACGAAACATGAGGTGCATCAATCATGAAGACCCACCAGGTGGCTGAGAAGCCACGTCGTAACTCAACCATCAATCAAAAGCAAACACCATAATGCCTGTCCTCACGCTTGCAGAAGAGTGCCAACACGTGAGAAGGAGGGCCACGGTTCGTGCAGCTTTGGAGATTCAAACTTGTCCCATGGACACCATCTTTTTGCGAAGGTAATTTTTGTATTCGCCAATCGACCCGTCCCATCGTCGGACAGTCTTGTTTTCGCACACCATGATGTCTTTGGCGATTTTGTCAAGCAACCTGTCAAATAGTCAGCCTGTTCCTCAAGTCTCATCTCTCGGTGGTGGAAACATACCGGAAATCGTGAGAGACAACTACGACACCGCCGGAAAAGGCATTGATAGCATCAGCCAAAGAATCAATTGTTGGAATATCGAGACCGTTGGTAGGTTCGTCAAGCAGGAGCATGTTGGGGCCCTCAATGGCCAAGAGAGCAAAAACCACTCGAGATCTTTGGCCCTCGGAAAGTGTGCCCATCAAAGCAGTCTGAGCGTCACCGGAAAGACCATAGCGGCCGAGCTGTTGGCGCCAGTATTGGTAGTCTTGGGATGTGGAGGAGTACTTGTCTCGCACGAAGTCGAGTGCTGATTTGGTCAAGTCGAGCTGATCCGCCGAGTGCTGTGAATAAAGTCCCAGCTTCAGGTGGGTGTGCCTGCTGACCGAGCCGCCAGTCGGGGAGAGTTTGCCAGTCATGATACGCAGCAACGTCGATTTACCCACACCGTTGGGTCCCACAAGGGCCATTCTGCTGTCCATGTCCACTCCAAGATCGAGGTGCTCGTACAGATTGTCTTCAGCCTTCCCGGAATAGCTGAATGTGACATCGTCAAAAGAGAGAACCGGAGGAGGCAGTTTTTCAACATCAGCAAATCTGAATGTGAACACTCGATCTTGAACGACTGGTTGGATGAATCCGTCTGCTTCCATTTTGTCCAAGATCTTCTGCCTTGATTTGGCTTGTCGGACCAAATTAGCATATGTACCGGCAGAGGCAATGAATTTTTTGATGTGCGCAATTTCTTCTTGTTGCTTGAGGTACGCCTTTTGTTGATTGGTCTCTTGTTCCGTCCGGGTCTTGATGTAGGAATCGTAGTTGCCACCATAATAAAGTAACTTCTTTTGCCGCATATCAATCATGTTTGTGCAGACGCCGTTCAGGAAATCCATCGAGTGTGAAACCAGGATCAAGGTCTTATCCCACTTCTTGAGGTACTCCTCCAACCACACACATGCCTCGAGGTCAAGATGAGCCGTCGGGTCGTCCAGAAGGAGGAGGGATGGCTTGACGAAGAGAGCTCTGGCCAGCGCCACTCGCATTCTCCAACCACCGGACATATCTTTGGTCTTTTTGTGAATGGTCTTCTTGTTGAAACCCAAACCGGTCAGGATAAGCGAGGCTCGAACTTCGAACGTGCTAGGGTCCATTGCCTCTGCACGCTATTGAGATGTTAGCAGTGGTGGATTTGATGTCGTCCCTGTGAACTTACCTCATAGATTTCGAGCAGTGTGGAACTCTCTGGGCCTTCCTTTTCCAGGATCTCCTCGGCAAGGTCGTCAAGTCGTTTGACTTCCTTCTCCGCCTCTTTAATCACCCACTCGAGAGCCCCCAGGTCAGTGGGAGGGGCGCCTTCATTCAGCAGGTAGATGTCAACATGTTCCGGAAAAGGAAATTCTCGCTTATCGATAGCCTTTAGGAGGGTTGACTTGCCACAGCCGTTCTCTCCGAGCAGACCGTATCGGCGGCCAAAATTGACTTCGATGGTGGAATCCGTGATAAGCACTTTACCGTGGAACACTAGAGAGGCGGAAGTGATCTTGACGTCCCGGCTGGCTTCCTGGGAGGCTAGCACACCAGTCGTGACCCGGTCGGAGAGACCGTGTTTGTCCATTTGTTCAGTCAGTTTCTTGACCTTGTCCATCTTGTCGGCGCTTGTGGCGGGGGCATCTTCCTCATCCTCGTCGAGCATGGGGGGATCGTCATCACCGGCAACTGACGAGGCTTTCGAGCCGTTTGTTGAAGGATTCTTGGAATTCGCCTTGGAGGACAACCTGGAGGCGACGGTCTTTTTTTCGGGTTTGTCACCCTTTTCAGCAGCCTTCTCGGCCTTCTTGGCCAGGCGGGCGGCTTTGGAAGCGGAGACGGGCATAATGAAGAATGTGTGTGCGGAAAAGGTGATTAGGAACGCAGCCTCAGCGAGGAGGGTCAGGCTTTTTGGTGGGGTGGAAATCGATCAACACCCGAAAGGACGGAGGCTGCGTCTTGGACGAAATCTATTCGTCGAGGTTGGACAGCACTTGTAGAACTTTGGACTTGGATTATAGAGTCCAGGCCAGAAAAGAAGACAATAAAGAAAAGAAAAGACTTAAGATGTCTTTTGAGACTGGTGGAGGGGGTTTTGTTGGCAAGGTTTGAGAGGCGCATGGTGGCATGGTAGAAAATTTGGGCCGCAGTTGTCGCCCCTCCAATCACATTTTCGGCCATATGCGTAAAACATGTCATACTTGCCAAGACTGGCCCCGGCGAGTTTGTTCGTAATCCTGTGCATCAGGAGATAAGACTCGACAAGTCTTGATTCCCATGTTTGTCCTCCTTCTCATCTCTCCCTAACATAGTCTCGCGAATCCTCCAACCTCGACCACCTCTTCCAGCGCTACGGACACAGGGTAGATAAGGGTCAGAAATTCAAGGATTTGACAGCGGAAAAGGCCAGAAAGGAATTGGAATCAGTACGCTGGGACGATTTCTTTCCCATCAACAGGATTGATGTAGTCAAAAATCTTTCTCATTCGCATTATTTCCTCTATGTTATGTTGTTCCACCACTCTGTTCAACCTGCCCCGACAATCAAAGAGTGACAAGAGTGGGAGTCATTGTCCTGAGGAAGGGTCCTATCCGTTATCCTTTTCGTAGCAGCTCATCCGAATGTTCATCCTGGACATGTCTACATTCATTCGTCAATGTTACCAGTGTCGTTTCCACCCGCTCTGGCCCCAGCCCGTAGTAGTCGAGGCGGCAGACACAGTTGAATAGTCTCCACCGTATCCCCCTCCGATCGTCGACCATTTGGTGACTGTAGCGCAGGTGGAGGTGCCCCCTGGTCCAACATTGGTGCATTTCTCCGTGGTAGTGACGGTACTACAGGTGTTGTTAGCCTTCTCAAGTCCAACGACGTCGAACAAGAACAACCAGTCCAGCAGTGATAGAGCCCGAGGGCAAAGGGGGACTTACGTGGTAGGTCCGGTGGTTACAGTAGGTCCGGGAACAGTGATGGTCTGACCGGGACCAACGTCGGTGCACTTCTCAGTAATCCTAACATTATCGTCAGCCTCCGAAGATGTCTATATGAGCCGTACTGTTGACTCTCTCGATCGCAAGCAGTGGCCCTCAGCAAGATGAGACTCACGTGGGTCCAGGAATGGTGACCGTTTGCCCAGGGCCGCCAGGCTGGGTTACGGTGGTCGTCACGGTAGACGGTGGTCCATTTGGCACGGTAAGAGTGCTCGTGACGGTGGCTGTAATTGTCTGTCCTGGGCCGACCTCGGTCGTGGTGACAGTCTGAACAGGGCCTGGTATCGTCGAAACGACAGTGGTGGTTGACGCTGGAACTTGAACAGTGGAAACGACAGTCGTCGTCTCTGCAGGACCGCGCACTGTGGAGACAACAGTAGCAGTCTGGCCTGGACCCGGCACCGTAGAGATAACAGTGGTTGTTTGACCTGGTCCCGGAACGGTAGAAACAATGGTGGTTGTCTGGACTGGACCTGGAACGGTGGAGACAACGGTAGTAGTCTGTCCAGGACCGGGAATCGTAGACACAACAGTGGTGGTCTCGGTGACGGTCCGGGCTGGAATGACGACTGTAGTTGTTGAGACTCCACCACC